CTGTCTTGATATCATGATTACCCAATAACCCTGAAAACTGTCTTGATATCATTATGACCCAATAAACCCTGAAAACTGTGTCTTGATATCATTATGACCTAATAAAACCCTGAAAATTGTGTGTTAATTAAAGGCTATCTTGATGTCATGACCCAATAAACCCTGAAAACTGTCTAGATATCATTATGACCCAATAAATCCTGAAAACTGGATCGTGACATCATTATGATCCTGAAAACTGTATCTAGATATCATTATGACCCAATAAATCCTAAAAACTGTATCTTGATATCGGTATGACCTAATAAAAACCTGAAAATTGTGTGGGAATTAAAGGCTATCTTGATGTCATGACCCAATAAACCCTGAAAACTGTCTAGATATCATTATGACCCAATAAATCCTAAAAACTGTATCTTGATATCGTTATGACCCAATAAACCCTGGAAATTGTGTCTTGATATCATAATGACCCAATAACCCTGAAAATTGTGTCGATATCATTATGACCCAATAAATCCTAAAAACTGCATCTTGATATCGTTATGACCCAATAAACCCTGAAAATTGTCTCTTGATATCATTATGACCCAATAAACCCTGAAAATTGTCTTGATATCATTATGACCCAATAAACCCTGAAAATTGTGTGGGAATTAAAGGCTAGTTTATAATGTAACAAGATTTACAGGACCATCTTCGCCAGCTCGCCATGGCACTAACATACAGCTACAATACTTTCTATCCAGTTCTATTGATGAAAATTCAGCAAAAATAATATTAATATAATACATTTACAAATAAGACAAGTTTATTTTTATAAAAACCACATTTTTACAAACACTCATTAAAATAACATTATCAAGTTATAAATAACCCACTATAGGTGCAATATGCACTTAGTGTTTTAAAATTAATCAGCAAATACATCAATAGCGCTTAGTACCAATGGGATTAGAGATTTGCTGCTTCCTTAAGCTACATAGTTTTTGTCTACAGCATCAACTATGGTGTAGTTTAAAATTGATACACTTGACAAAGGAGATATAATGAAAAATCCATTATAATCTTGATAATTTGATAGCAAATCTAGTTTAGAATAACATGACTTGAGTCATTCAGTAGACCAACCCAGCTATCATGTTTGATAATATAAGAGATGTATTATATCAAGGCTTGTAGAATAGGGGACATCTCTTGTCATCATCAATGTATTATATAGAAAAAAAACAACACTAGCGCAAATCACGAAATCAGTCCTCTGTCAAAATTCGCATATTAAAAGTTGCTGAAATTGTCAACAATTCTTTAAAATACATATTAGAGTTCATAACAATCAGATTTCTCATCCATACAAACCAAATTAGACTGAATTCAAATAGATCTTTCACACTTAATCACTGTCACTGCTATCTTCACTGAGTTGGAGATCTTTGGCTAAAAGATAACAGAGAATATATTTGAGTAGCTTTCAAATAATTTGAACTAAGTCTCTTTATCTACTTTTAAATGACAAGCTGACAGTTTTAAACAAAATCAACTTCAAAATTTTAATACACACATATCCCACAATATGTTAATGCTGTCCTTAGAGTGTAGTCCAGAAACCAGTCATAGGATTTTCATTCTAAAAACTACTTCAGATACCGGAAGCAGAAACTGATCTTTGTTAGCCTACATAGCTATACCATACCCCTTTACAAAACATAGGCTTGCGGCAAGTCTCGCAAGCGAATACGCCAACCAGCAGCTTGATAAAGAGCTAAATGTGAACTGTTAAACAAAATTTATTTCGTAGCCTTTAGAGTGAGCATGAGCCAAAAAAGTGAAAAAACACGATATCAGAGTTTAAAGCGATATCTCTCAAGAAAATCATCGCATCCTCACCAAATTCAATAGTGCACATCTTCATAATGATATTGACACACATACAAAAGATCAAAAGAATCCATAGAGAATTGTAGTCTGTAGAGTGAGCACAAGGCAAAAAAGTGAAAAAAAAAACGAACACGATATCAGGGTTTTAAGCAATGTCTCTCAAGAAAATCATCGGATCATCACCAAATTCAATAGTGCACATCTTCATAATAATATTGACGCACATACAAAAGATCAAAAGAATCAATAGAGAATTGTAGTCTGTAGAGTGAGCACGAGCCATACTTACGTGTGGGCGTATAAAAATCAGTACTTACAAAGTAATTCACTTTTAAACGCTGGAGGTGAAATTGGTGGAGGAACAACAGATTGACTTTTGATAGTAGCCTGGACTTCACCTAAACAAATAAAACAAAAATGATAGCTTGCCAGGCAAGGTAATATACGCCCACTGGCAGCTTTGATTTTGAATAAAGATATTTAGCAGTACAGTAACAATCACCAGTATGAAATATTTAACATTCAGTCATACACTTCTTTTGAACTCTTTAGGGTGATACTGAATAATATTGAGTATGAGTTATTGCCCTAGTTCTTGAAAATGTGTTCAATTTTTAGCTCGTGAAAACTCTAGAAGACAAATATTCAATCTTCAGTGCGGTACTGAATAATAAAACCAAGTTTTGTCAAAATCTGGCAAGAATCATGCCTTCTAGAGATAACTCATACTAAATATTTTTCAATTTTTCTGATTTTCGATAGGGTTTATCCTTGGGTGATTACAAACACTCACACCAAGTTTCATCAAAATCCGTCATGAATTGCACCTTCTAGAGTGTTTACGAGCGTTTCAAGAACAAGGGCAATAACTCATAGTAAATATTTTTCGATTCGTCTGATTTTCATTAGGGTTCATCCTTGGGTGATTACAAACAACCATACCAAGTTTCGTCAAAATCAGTCAGGAATTGTGCCTTGTAGAGTGTTTACAAGCAATTGTGGACCGACGGACATGGGTGACGGCAATATACTCCCCCCATTTCAAGTGGGCATATAAAAATGACAAGTTGGAGAAAAACTCATAAATTATGTTAGGAAATGTAAAATTCAAAGGAAAAAATATCCTGATACAACTTCATAACATAGGCTTGCGGCAACTCTCGCAAGCGAATACGCCCACCAGCAGCTTGATAAAGAGCTAAATGTGAACTGTAAAACAAACTCTATATCGTAGCCTGTAGAGTGAGCATGAGCCAAAAAAGTTTAAAAAAGCGATATCAGAGTTTTATGCGATATCTCTGAAGAAAATCATTGGATCCTCACCAAATTCAATATTGCACATCTTCATAATGATATTGACACACATACAAAAGATCAAAAGAATCAATATAGAATTGTAGTCTGTAGAGTGAGCACAAGGCAAAAAAGTGAAAAAAAAAAACAAACGCGATATCAGAGTTTTAATCGATATCTCTCAAGAAAATCATCGGATCATCACCAAATTCAATAGTGCACATCTTCATAATGATATTGACAAATACAAAAGATCAAAAGAATCAATAGAGAACTGTAGTCTGTAGAGAGAGCACAAGCCAAAACAGCGAGAAAAAAACGAATTCGATATCAGAGTTTTATGCGATATCTCTAAAGTAAATCATCGGATCATCACCAAGTTCAATAGTGCACATCTTCATAATGATATTGACACATATACAAAAGATCAAAAGAATCAATAGAGAATTGTAGTCTGTAGAGTGAGCACGAGGTAAATGTGAACGGGCGGACCGACAGACCGGCAGACCGACAGGGGCAACCACAATATACGCCCATACTTACGTGTATGTAAAAATAACAAAAATGCAACCACAAGACAAAATGTTGATATCTAATTGACTGGAACTCATATTATGATGCCAATACATGTTTCAGATAAACAATACTCATCAGGGAATGCTATATCTGAAACAAGAGTTAGGTTAATGAGCAGAGAAGTGAACTCAGAGGGAATAATAAATGAATTACCTGGTTGTGATGTATCCATTTCATTATCACTAGAGTCACTAGAATCTGAACTGTCACTACCACTACTACTGGAACTGTCACTAATATTGCCTATAGGTGATGCATCATCTTCTGTAATTTACACAAGACAATATTATTATTTTTGTATTGTGATAAAAATCTTCAGAGTCCCAGTGGCTCAGCATGTTAAGTTCTTGTTCACCAACCATGTGGTCCATGAATCAATCTCAACATGATCTTAGTTAATACTTGATACTTGAACACTGATATTGTACCTACGATATGACTTTGAAATCATGTGACTGTAACCTCATCTTTCAACAAAAGCTGAACAGGTTTTATGAAGGGGGCAAAAGCTTGCTTCACAAACCCTTTCATGCCATGAACATCAATTTATTCAAATTTTTATTTAATGAATTTCTGATTAGCTTATTTTACAAATAGGTTACATCCATTTCCAATAGTACTGTTTGTCAGGCATGAAAAGATCATTGGTATTCTTTGACTTTCTGACAAATTATATATATCTTCCAACTTTCAAACTGAATACTTACTCTTTTCAGTAGAAGGTAAAAATAAAGGCATGGAAGGATTTGGTGGAGATTTTTCTTTTGTACTACTAGGACTAGCCTGATTCTTGCTTTTAGATGGAGAACTTCCTTTGGTTTTCTGAACTTCAACAGGGGTAGATGGTCTGTTAGCTTTACTGGAACCTTCTTTCCTACAATAAGATTTAAATAATTATTCAATTTATTTAATTTGTGAACCCAAAATTCATCTTATTCTAAAGATATCAGTTGTAACAGTTGCAGAACTTTTAACTGAAGAATTGTTAAACTGTTCATGTTATAATAACTAAATAGGTAAACTCAATTACTTAATATAAATTTTTCTAAAATTCTATATAATAAGCCAAATTTATTCTGATTTTATTCAAATCTAGTATATCAAAGTGTGTAATGATGATGTTAAAATAATATTGTGTATGCAGAATGGAATTATGTTATCCATATCCAGAATAGTGAATCTGCCTCTGCTTGCTCTTGACATGCTGTTTTGTGATCTTATTTCCAGTACCAAGTAACTTAAATCTGTAGAGCCTACCTGGTTTTTTTAACAGGTATATTGTTAGTCAATTTTTCCAGGGTAAATGTTCCTGTTTTGTGATCTATTATAAGAACACATTCTTTAGGACATGGTTTTTTATTTCCTTTATATACAGTATGTGAAGTTCCAGACCCCTAAAATACAGAAATTTAAAAAATAGACCATATTCATCATCGAACAAGTTCAGGTTAATTAAACAAAGGATAGGCAACAAGAAAGTGTCGTTGAATTTTTCTTCAAAAATGAATGATGGACTCATTGCACCGGCAGTAAACTGAAGAAGTTAACAGGGTCAAATAAAACATTGAATGATCTTCTGCTGCTAGAGTCTGGCACAAGAACCCATGTTATACCTTCATTCCCACATAATGCAGAAAGAACCTACAGGTTTTAACTGTTATTTTAACCTCAAAGTTAAAAAGTTCATTTAAAGGCTTATTTGCTGGAACTTTAATGGAGGGACAATAAGAAAAATGAAGACTGTAGAATTGAACAATCACCTCTACATGTGGTACAGTAACAGTGACTTGATTTCCTTCTCCTATCTCTACTGAAGAACTCTGACTGGTATCAACTGATGCTGGTTTGAAATCATCTACAAATATAATATTAGTAATCTAGTTAACAATGCTCATACTAATTTCAATAGCGTATAAAAAATTACAGACCAATAATTTTATTAAATATTATTTTGTATTCTTGGTAGGATGGTGTTAAAGATTCTAGACTTATTTCATAAGATATGAATCTGAATAAATATGCTGCAGCGCAAGGTTTATGGCATCAGTGGAAATGGGAGAGAGGCGCTGGAAGATTAGTACAACCATGTGAAAGCAAGCTCTAGTTCTAAAGCTTTATTGCCTTAGCTCACCCATGATTGCTTTTTAGTCTATTCCAATCAGAAATGGTTCTTACGAAGAATGATTGTTTGTATTGGTCACATTTACTAAGCAGAATTTTAAAACATCTGCTAGTGTTTTGAGCAAATTTTGCAGGATAGCTGGTACCAACTCCCGGGCTACCTTGTGGAGAAACGGAAGTCTATTGTGACGGCGTATGTTTTAATGTTTTGGATTAAGTTTGATCATGAGTCTCCCAATGCTAACTCCCTATGCTTGTATAACCCCTACTGATGAAGTGCACTGATTGTCTCTGAACACATTCTAATGCATTAATGTCCTTGATTAAATAAGGATTAAATTGATGCGTATTCTAAAAGGGACCGGACAAGTCCTTTATATGCCTGTTTTCTGCAATCAGGAAACAGAGGTTTCGCCGTAAGAAGAATAAAATGGAGTAATGTCAACGTCCGATTTCAGATCATCTGAAATAATCACACCAAGGTACGGATTTTGATGAACCTGTTGCAGATTGGGGTCATCGAGTTTTTAGAAATGAGGTGATTTGTTATTGATGCTCATAAAGTAACATTTTTTAGCATTAAACCTCATACTCCATTATTTGCCCATTCTTCTGATCACACATGGTCGTTCTGTAAGAGTTGGTGGTCATTATTGTGAAACAGGAAAAGCAGCGGTCCGAATTGTGCCTAGGGGTACTCCTGATGCTACACCTACAGAGTTAGAATTTTTCGCCATCTATGAGGACTCGCATAGATCGTTATGAAAGAAACGTATTAAGCCAAACCAAAACTCTGGAGTTTGTATAACAGTCTGTGCGGGGCTGTATCAAAGGCCTTAAAGAAGTCCAGTACCAAGATGTCTCCCTGGTGTCCTTTACCGTTTAGTTGAAGTAGATCGCTCATGGTGTTAACAGTTTGGTTTCGCAAGAGAAAAGCCACACTGGAGTTGTGTAAGTATACAAAGATATGTTTGATTTAAACATATTTTATTACAACAAATGTAAAAGGATTTGACAAAAGTTACAAAAACTTACAAAACTGCCATTTCCAACATATAGCTGCCATATGTGTACAAAAATGGGAAGGTGTGCTCAGAGTGTCAGGTGCAGAGGGTGAAAAGAAAGTATGAAAGTATCAATAAGTAATAATGAGTTGGGATATGAGAAAGATCAAAATTAGTATTTGTGTTAATCGAAGCTATCTCAGTGAACGATCTTTTGCTCGAAACATTGGCGAAAGCGCAAAAGAAAGTTCTGAAAACCTTTTGCTTGCTTTTATAAATTTGAATACTTTGTTGATAAGTTTCGTATTTTGAATTGGAGAAATATAAAGTGATTTTTATGGTCGTCTAAAAAGAGCGAAAAATATTTCTGGATAAAAGATAATGGACGACATCTTCTCTGAAGTGGCCACAAGAACAGTTCTGGTCTTGCACCAGGTGTACTCGGAACAGATCAGCTTTCAAAGGACTACTTTCAGTTCATAGTTGTGCTAAGAGGATGACACATTTACGATCACCGTTGCGTAAAAAAGATTTCTGTGTTAGACGCTTGATGGTGATAAGCGATTTGAAGTTGCCTCTAGTGCTCACAGTTCTTGTTTCAGGTTTAAGATTATTCCAGTCTCTAATAGTTGCAGGGAAGAAGGAGTTTTCATAGGTATCTCTTTTCGTGTGTGGTGGTTTAAATTCATAGTTATTTCTTAAGCTGTAATGATTAGGTTGAGCTCTAAATGTGTCTAACAAGCCAGAGAGATATTGTGGACAGTATTCGTGATATAAGTGAGTCTGTGTCTCTTACGTCTTTCACCCAGTGGTTCCCAACCGGTTTCGTTATAGAGAGATATGTTTAGCTTAGGGTGCCCGTTCATCGTTCTGGGGTAGAATTTCAATGTTCAGTGGTACAAGTTCATAGTTGAAATGAAAATCCGAAAATGAACAGTGGCTCTGACTGAGTCTTCATAGTTCATGGGCAATCTACGGCAGGATGAATGGAGTACGGATTCGGTATTTATGCCAATTTATGGGGGAAGTCATCTCCTCGGCTAATGTGCAGTTAGTTACTTACATCTCATAGAATGGAAATACACGCCAGATTTAGGGTCAAAACTTTTTCCTAATTTGAGTTCATGTACTTGATTGTCTACAGACAAAAATTTATCAGCCATTTCTGTAACTTTAAGTGAAAAAACTGAAGCAATATGTTACGACATCATTTATGTTGAAAAAGTTTGTGATGATCGGAAGTAGAACCTGTAGAATCAGAGGCGAGTAAGAAACGGGAGTTACTTCCCCATTCAAACTGACGGCGAGTATAAATGGACCTGTCTTCATGAGGGGAGACTCAAAGTTTCTTGACACTTTTTAATTATATCCAATCAATTTAACAAGTTTCATAGCAGAAACATCAGAGAACATCCTTCCCCCTTTTGTTGAAAGCTTTCCCCCCCCCTCCTTTTTCCTCCCTCTTTTTTCTTTTTTTTCCAGGTCTTCTAGTTTTCCAACAGATAACAGATAATCTCCAAACCAAACCAAACCAACGACTACCATTCGACTACCAATCAACAAGAAATACCATGATCAGAACGAGTTTGGAAGAATGAAGGAGATCGAGTAACTCACACCATCCAGGGCCGAGTTTCATCACCATGTCATTCGACCCGACCAGATCTAACGAAGAATCAACAACCAAACCAACAACACAGAATCATCCAATTTGAACCAATCCAACTACCAACTACTACGACTACCAACAACTACCTAGTTTGCGATATCAGCATCCGCTGGAAGCTAACTTGTCATCTACCTACCTACCTACCCGAGGGGAGACAGCTGTGCTAACCGAAAATAACTATGACGTCAACAGTGGTACAGATATTTGTGGAGTTCCTATGAAAGAGTCTGTATTGGAAAGAGAGAATCGAGGGAAGATTCTATACAAAAGTTCCCAAACTTCAAAAGTGAAAGAGAATAGGTTAAAGAAAACGTCAGAATAACCACCATGTGCGTCAATAGACTGTAAAATGATAGATTCTAATCTCACTTAAAGGAGAATTTTTACCGTTTTCGGGAGCTGTGTTTGGTTTTTGTTGGTCTAATGCAGTGGCGGAGCCAAAGGGGGGGGGGGGGGGCAGAGGGGGCGGCCCCGAAAGCAAGTTTTCGGGCAAAAAATCTCATAACTATAGGTTACAGATTCGGGCAATCTCAGATATCTCGCCCCCTCTCGAACGTCAACTGGCTCCACCACTGGTCAAACGGATGACAAACCTATCCCTTTAATTTACAACTGTAGGTCCTATATGCATATTCGAAATTTAATATAGTTCAAATACTTTCGGGTTAATAATCGTATTCATATTATAATAGACTGTAATAGACTTATTTGTCACTTATGCAAGATGTAAAACTCCTACGTTTTTTACAAGATAAAAGGCTATAGAAGCACTGTGTATTGAACGTCACTTTTAGTTTAGCCCAAGTCATCACCTGCCTAGTTTCTGCACGTAGGCAGGTGGGGTGTTTCGTACAGGACCGTCCATTCAATGGTTGATTAACGATATGTTACCAATTTATTTTAAAGATATGATGTAATAACTGTATTATATAATAAGATTGATACCTAATGAACTATCTAAGGGCCTTATTCGCTTCAAGAAGAATGTGACACGTCTTGACCAGTCCTATCTTGATATCCAGATATAGGCCTACCGGTTATATAGAAATCGATGTTCGAGAACGACCCTCTCAGTGTAACTGTGATAATATATTATGTTAGGATTTCGATACAAAAAACAACTTTCATAACGTCTCTTTCATAACAGCTAATTTTCATAATAAATTTAAATCGGTTGTATTCGAAAGAGGTTAGCTAATTATACCCAATCCATTATTACTAATGACCAGATTAGAGATAAAAAGATAATCTAAGATAAATTCTTTGAAGTTTGTTTTCAAGAATGAACGAAATATACTTTAAAATTTCGTAATCTATGCTTATATAACGCAGAAACCCCCTATTAATCATAATGGACTCTTCGTTTGCCTATTATGACGTCACGTGTCCTTTTCAAGTTCAATCGCCATTCGATAATATCGCAGACGAATCTTAGGAAGCGAAAGGATCATATATAAAGGTAATTTCGACTCTTTTCTTGAATTGAATTCCTTTTAGATTGGGTTATGCCATAATACTTATTTCAAGATATCCTTCCGTGAAGTGATTTCGACTACTAACTGCGTAAATCGCCGAATTTCATCAGCCGGTAAGAAAGGGGAAAGAGGTCAGTCATTGACTTCTCTTATTCTTACCTTGGAAAAACGGTTACATTTTTATCTTTTTTATATACAAATTAAAACGCAGTGAATTTTTATTGAGTCCTTCACTTGCTAATATCGCGTCCCTTGAAATTGTCTTTAGTTTACCTGTCTCTGAAAGATGATCGTTCGCGGTTTGTCGGATTTTGAATTGAAGGTCGTTGACAGACAGACAGTGACAAATACAAATTTCATAGTCACCACGTGCATAATATCACATTAGTAGTACTTCATCGTCATTTCAATGATTATGAGAATAAATCGTAAGCTTATATTTAAAAAAAATTTAATTTGTAGAACAAAATGCCAGACATACCACAAGGAGATGTTGAAAAGGGGAAGAAACTGTTTGTTCAAAGATGTAAGCAATGTCATAATGTAGATAAAGGTGGTAAAAATGCCACAGGTCCAGCACTTCATGGTTTATGGGGAAGAAAAACTGGACAAGCTCCTGGATTTGGTTACACTACAGCTAATGTTAACAAAGGTACGTAGACAAGTAAAGAGGACACTATGACTAATATAACACTGGCCAGTGTTAGTTTCCATACTGATCATTGTTTGTGACTTGTTATAGTGTGTATTAATAATCTAGAAGTGCTTCTTAAGCACTGTTATATTCCATAATCATTTGACCTTACCATTATCCTAACAAGGAATTTTATTGTATTCAATAGAATTCAACTAAATGCCTTTTTTTTGTATTTCAGGAATCACATGGAATAAGGATACTTTATTTGAATATTTAGAAAACCCTAAAAAATATATTCCTGGAACAAAAATGGTGTTTGCTGGTTTAAAGAAACCCAAAGATCGTGCAGATTTAATAGCTTATTTGGAATCAACAACCAAAGCGTAACCATGTAAATCTATAGGCAATTTTGTTAAACCATGAACATTTTTAAAAACTAAAACAACAAAATATTTAGCAATTGTAAAAAGAACTGTTTACACTTTCATTTTGTCTCCATATGAATATCATTTCTCTGAGATCTTTTAGTATGTTGCATTACTCTCATTGGACTATAAAGATTGGATGAGCTGAGCTCTCATACTGTACCTCTTAGGATGTTTTTAAAATGTATTATGTATAAATTTTTAAATTATAAATACTTGTGTACCATTTTGTGAATTAGAATATTAAATTTACCATTATTTGACTAAATTATTGTTTTGAAGACTGAAAAGGCAAGTGGTTTTAACTGAAGATCAATGTACTATGAGCTTTTAGCAGTGGGTTTTACCTGTTTTGTCTCACTGGCCTATAAATCTAACTGGAATTGTCTGTAGAACTTGAAATTGAAAGAAAGTGAATGACTTTGAAGACATCAGACTATTAAACCCCTATCAATATTGTTACAAGTATCAATTAAAGCTGACAAAGTTCAATTCAAAATGTTTACCAATTCACCAAAAAATGCCACATATAAATAGGAGGGAATGCCAATTTAAGATCGTTAAGATCACATCTACATGCAGTAATAAATATCAAATAATTTCACTAAGTGTTGTGAAATTTATGCAAAGTTCCCAGAGTGATAGCAGTGATTGATGTAAATTTCATTGTTAAGGGAAAATGTTGTAATAGTCATAACTGGCTAGATTCCAAAATGATTTTGGGTTGAAAGCATCTAGTTTACTGAAGCTATGTAGTTCTGACTTCATCATTCTAGGACCCCTAGTATCTTAAAGATGGCATTTTCAGGGATTGATTTGGGTCTTGAATCTGCTTTAATAATCTACTAAAACGCAAGAAAATCGCATAATTCCTTCATATATACCTCAGACTGTAAATTTCACTGTCTAATTCTATTAAGTGTTTTCTATATATAGCATAATCTCACTTTAGTTCGAGTAAAATTTTTAACTTTCAAACGTGAATAATTATAGATTTGAAGGCTCAAATATCGACGATGAGCTGTGAACAGTATTACTGATTATGTAAGCTAAAAAAATTACTGTTCCTGAAACTAAGATATGATTGGTCAAACAGATAGTGAAGGTGCTCCTTTAAGTTTCAACATGATCTTCATTTTGTATTTAAAAAGGGCGTGTTCCCAAACTTCAAGTAAATGTAAACAGGACTGGGGTATGGTAAAAAGAGGAATGATTTCAAAGAACACTGATAGGATGTGAAAGAAAAAATATAGCATTATTTTTTCTCTGATATTGCAAGTCTTTATTACAATATATTGCATCACAAATGACTTGTAAATTCTTTCAATGAATGAGTGTTGTCTATGATATGCCTTATTTGCATGTAGTGGTTTCTCCCCAGTGGTTTCCACCACTTTTTAATCCTAGTGGTTCCACCTCTATTAATAATCCACAAGTTAATATCCAGTTGAAATTGAACGTAAGATCAATTCAATAATGATTTCCTTAAAAAAAAAATAACTTTTTCATCCAATTGTCTATACAATACATAAGTAATAATTAAAAAATATAGAAAAAAAATAATTTGAACTAGGGAAAGTATAACTTATACAGATTTCTATACCATTCATGTGCACTCACAAGTGATCTAGGTATATATTTGAATAATATAGTATATTAATGTTTAAATCTAAAATGAAATAAAATATGTAATTAAATCCAATTCTCCTTCTTTACATACCTAAGCTTACATATATATAGGGGCGGAAACCACTATGGGAAACCACTGTAAGCCATATTATTAATATGCATGATACAAACTTATCGCTTTATGTTTAACAAATTGTTTGTAAACACTTATACCGGTATAAACTTTTTGAAAGTATCTGTCAAAGGTATGTGCTAACAGTGGAATTATTCAATACATGTTCTAACATACGCTGACAGCTTGAACCACTATAACACATGCTAAATCAGTGGAAATTTTTGCATCATAATCAGTTTGAACTGTTGTTCAACATATCACATTCCCAACATATTTTTAGATTCTTCCACCTCTTCTTGTAAACTGTCACTGGTATATTTTTTTAAAAGTTCCATTTTCTTACGCATTAATAATGCCTCTTCGATTTCTTTTTGAGAAGGAACAGGCACATGAGCAATAAATTGTTGTTTGTCAGCCTCCATCACTTTTACAAGAGAACCTACTATCACATCAGGATCATCCTCTTCAATATTGTAATTGGGTTCATCTACTTCCATAGATACAGCTTTGTCAGCTTCATCCAGTTTGATTTCACCACTTTCAATTTTTTCTTGTCTTTCTTTCCATTCTTTTATTTTCACGGCTATGACTTCTTTCTCTAACTGTTGTTCAATAGGTAGAATTCTACCATCATCCTCATCTCTGTATCCATAATAATCAGCATTTATATCTTTCATGAGTTCTGCACGGGTCTTTCGAGGAGGTGGAGGGGGTTCTTGATCAAATAATTCTCTAACTCCTGGCAAATCTTTGGCAGCCCCAAAATATTTATATCCCCTATTTCCCGGAACTTCCTTGCCTTCATGATCTAACATTTTAGGACCAATTCTTCTGTAATCAGGGCCATTAAGCTCCTTTATTTGGTCCTCCCAATGGCCCTTTTCTCTTAAAAGTTTATTGATTTCATCATTAAGATCACGTAGTTTGAACTCCCCCAACCCAGCGTTTTGAATTTGGGCAACTTTTCTGGAAATTTCACCAAGAATTTGTCTCCTCCATTTTTCAGCTTTGTGAAGATCTGTACAGTCAGAAGCTATGAAAGGTCTTCTTTCCGTCTGTTGAACTTCACCTAATTGAGCTGCCCGCCATCGGGCAAGAGTTGTCATAGCTTTTTCACTGTTTCTAGCCATTTTTATTCGATAGGAGAGAAAATTCTTCGAAAATCACAAAAACGTTAAGAAATCTACGCCATTACTCTTTTCATGATTATCCAGACAGTTTTGTAGTTATAAATTTCAATGAAATATTTCCACTGAAAAACCAAGTCCTAAATAAGAGTTGCCTCCCTTAATAATAAAATTCAAGGTGCTTTAATTTTCCGACATAACTAATATTTTACTTTGTGGCACCTTTAAAGCCCCGGTTTCCAACCTGGTGTTTGTTTCACCCGTGGGGCTAGGGTGTCAGGGGGATGGCCAACTGGTGTAGGAGAAAAATGTATTTTGAATTCAGAGAGCGCCTCTCACGTCATGCTGCAAATGTGGATGAAACGAATTTTTGGGGGTGTGAAAGGTCCAGGTGATTGCTCCAGGGTTGTGAAGGCTGAAAAGGGTTGGGAACCACAGCTTTAAAGGGAGGGGATGGATGCGACATTTTTCCTGATTGATTTGAGTCTTGAATATACGTAGAAAATCTTCAGAAGTAGGCCTACTAAAAATGTACGAAAATCGCATAATTCCTACAAAAATATCTCAAACTTGTAATTGCTTTTCCGATTTCTATAGATTTTTCTATTTAAGGCAGTGTCTTAAGAAAAGACGACTCGCTTTTTAAACTTTCAAACACCGATGATTCTCGACACACATGGATTTGAAGACTCAAATTTCGACGATGAGCTCTGAACACAATTAGCTAAAAAGAAATTCCATTTCTGAGACTAATGACACGGACAGTCTTGATCGCCGATATCTGTCGCCCACTCGAATCTTGAGTAAAATCTCACGCTGCCGACAGGATTTGTTATATCAAACAAATTTGATATTTTGTCACCGATTGTTTTATCGTCTGCATGACAAAGTGTCATCATCCAATCAGATTCATTTTCCTTGCAATTGCACTATTTGCATGTGGAAAACGACCGACTGTGTGCCAGCAGCTGGTCAGTGAAACTCTTGACAAGACACTATAGTTGGCGACAAAATCGCGGACCAAGACCGTTCGTGTGCCCACACCTTAAGGGTACGATTGATTTGCAAACCCCACTATCACATTTTATTTTATCATTTTACACACTGAAATAATGTGGAAAAGTTTGTGACCCTGCTCGCCCCCCTAACCTGGTGTATCTTAGAAACACCACTGCAGCGAAAACTATTTGATAACGCGCATTTATTCAATTTTCCAGTCAACCTTTGTCCTGATCTACAACCATACCATAACAGCCATTTAACAGTTTATTGCGTAAGTAACTATTTCTGAAAACCATGGTGGCAGTACATCAAAACACGAGAGCAAATATTTTGATAGGCTACAGCATTCGGCAATTCTCAACAGTTTCCGTAAGCTGAATGATGCAGAGGGTAGTGTTCGAGCAACTTGATAAGATAGATTTTCAGGCGTGCACGCCTATATAACGACTTGTAATGCACAGCTTTTTTTTCCCATTAGGATAGTGCAACTAACACCACATAGTCGTTTTCATGCTCTGTATACGAAACTGACATGGAAATAACCATACAAGAACAAAACGTATTTCATGTGCATGCAATTCTCACCCGTCCCCAATATTCTTGCAGGACCCAGCATAATTGATATTTTCACTATAAAACATAGAAAGCCTTCTGATACTCATGCATGTTTCTTAAGCACCAGTAGCATAATATAAACAATATATGCTATACCGGTGCTTAAGAAATATGACTGATACCATGTAATATAATGTACTGTTTTAAGCCGCTTATAGGCGAGGTGACTGGTGCGTTGTACTAAGATGAAAATTAATTTTGACCTAGGCGAAAATTAATTTTAGATTAAAAATTTTAGGAAATATCACCTAATTTTCACCCAAGTTTTTAATTCAATCATACAGGAATTATCACGAAAATTAAAGTTTATTAATCAAAATATAAAGTTCAAGTACGAATTAGTTTAAAAGGGAGTCAACAACCTGATCTCCATGTTTAAATTCGAACAGTGCGTGTATCAGTGACCATATCAAACACACTAAGAGATATTCATGTTGAAACTACAAGGAAATACTTTGATGAACTCATGGCTAATAAAGAAATCTTTTCAATGTTTGCTCTTCTAAAGGCATGGTTCACCATTTTCAGAGGTCAGTCATATACCTTTGTCTCAGAAACGGGAATTGTTCAGCTAATCAGTAATAGATCATCCCTCAACTATGTTGTAGAACGGTTAAGTTCTGGATGTTCAAAATTGATCCGCACACCCTATATATCCTTATCAACAAGACGTATTTTTGTGTATAAATATTCAGGCAGTTGATTAAACTAGTGAAATTGAATATCAAAAAGTGAAAATGTAATCATGCATTTTTCATACAGTTCTAGTACCTTCGAAGACTTTTTACAAATATTCAAAAACCCAATTAAACCCTCGGAAATAGGTGAACTATGACCTTTAAGCCAACATTATTTGAACGCAAATGGAAATACCCAGTCTGTTCATGTTTAACCGATGTTTTTTATTGTTGCAACCAATTAAGTTTTACTTTACATAAACCAGACGATGTCGATAACCCACCAGGGGCAATAACTCTATTCATACTCAAATATAATGTGTCCACAGTTGATACAACACCTGTGTTATTGATTTGTTTAAAATTTCCTGTTGCCAATTTTCTTGAGATACCTTTATTATTGAAAAGCAATGTTAGTCTAGTAGCAATAGAATCCTCTTCATAATAAATAATCACCAAAGAGTCGTTATTCAATCTGCTAGAAACTTCTAACGCGTCGTTATAACCTCGAACTTCATAAACTACAAAATATAAATCAAACAAAAATATATTTATAATAATATTAAACAGTTATCAAGCTTACAAACTGATTTCGACCCATTTTGTTTTAGTCAAAACCAATCCTTTGACAGTTTCTCAAATTCGAATTCGATCAAGATACTATTAGCCCGTCTTTTTTTTTTATTCAAACGAAAAATGCAGTTTCTGCCGTGCTACCAACATTCGGCAATCCTCGACAGTTTCCTAAAAGTGTCTCGTTTTTGCCGTGCTACCAACATTCGGCAATCCTCGGCAGTTTCCGTAAAGTGTCTCGCAAACGGCCGTCTCGAAAGTTACGCTAGCGCTTTGCAACATATCATTTTTTACCAAAACTATGCCAATATTGTCATGTGATCATGTGATTCTGGTAATTTAAATATTAGAACTGGTCGTAGAACTAGAGGTGTTTGTAAACAAAGTCAAAGAAAACAAAACTTCCGTAAGATGTATCATTGGATAACCAATATAAAACAATTGTGCCATTATCTCCAAAAGTCGCTCAATTCAAATACTATATTTAGGCCGCAATATTGCTATCACTTGACAAATCACTGCTATATAACAGAAGAAAAGAGTCTCGCCCAAGAAGACACAACGGAACTCACATTTCACTACAGAGTCAGATTCAGCTTTACGGAAACTGCCCATGATTGCCGAATGTATGTCTTAAGTGATGGATTTTGAATTTCATTGTGTCTTCTTGGACGAGACCATTGAGTTCTTATTATATAAGGCTAGGCCTACTTCCGGAATTGCACAAGTATTTGTCAAGTGATAGTAATAGTGCGACCTGTATAATATAGTTCCTATAGCTTTACAGCCTTCAGGAGATAGGGCTTAATTCTGACACAATAAAATTATGCATTTACTATTTTATTGTGATGATCGGTTTACCAATGATTCATTTTATCATTATTTTGGAATCATATCCAACGAAGGTTTTCTTTGTATTGTCTTTGTTTACAAATGTTCGTATTCCTTATCGACGGTAGGCCGCTTGTGCTACAGTCTCTGACGCCCAAACTATAGGCCTAGGCTATGACGATGTTATATTTATCTATTTTTCTATAATAACTAAATAATTTTCATTTAATTTTTCCCCATCACCAAAACGGATGTGGATTTATAATCAATCAAATTCAATAGCCACTGTAGCCTCAGTCAGTTGCAAAGATATTTAGCAATCTGTCCAGGCTCTCTGTCGTCGAAGTTGTACGTAGGGGGCTGGATGATGGAGGCTATTTGTGCTACTAAAAGAATTGTTGACTTGCGGATGGATAGGGACGATGGAATATACGCTGACATTTTCACATGCATGTGAATATCATCTCCATGGCAGCACCAATAAGAATCGTGTTTATCAGGGCTTTACACAGCTGAAGACACCTCGATTTTTTCCATAAAAAACATGAAACTCGCTTGAATGTTGTCTAATATTATTACAAGATTTTACTTACTTGTCTTTTCTCTAGAGGGTGAGTTGGCCATGTTAAATACTGAACCAGCTGGTGAATCAAACCTCATATCAACAACTAAAGACTGAGAATTGAGACCTTGTAGATCTATCTTGATTACCCCAAGAAGACCACATTTTACATTTTGTCCGAAAACAAGATTTTCTTCCCATGTAATTCCTAGGTCTTTTCCTTGAATTTGTCCATTTGTCAGATCAATTTCTAAACCAGTATCTGAAAAAGATGGTACTTTTACATAATTTGTCTAGCTGATCTATATCTGTTTGGAATAGATTATTTTCCATTCTCGTTCTACTTATGCTTCTAATCTCAATGGAGGTTCACGAAAGTATAAAATTGAGCTCAGGTGCAGCTCTGATTAACAGCAACTGGATTTTTAACAACTAACGGTATTTGGAAGACTTAGATTAATCACTGGATATATTCGAGCTCAATGAAGACTCAAAAAACGCATTTGCGACCAATGGGCCAAATGTCCTTCTTTCTAGCAAAAATTGGGAATGGTCAGTGGCGTCCGGGTCGTCGACATGAGTGGTCGAAACCAGCTTCCATCTTTATCCTAGTTGACTGTGGTCAGTCTGTACGTTTCGCTTTTGCTCTAGATGATTTTTTTATGGCCAACCATACTACTATTGGTATGCAAGTATACATGTATACAAGTATACAAGTTCTCATCCTAAGTCTCTCAACTTTCTCAAACAAGATAATATGTGAATTTTTTAGTGATAAAGGAACACTTTCGGTATACTTATCTCTTACCATTTTCTGATATGAAGCGTGCTGATGATACCAACAAATAAATGGGCTAATGATTGTAGTACCACCTTATCCCTTAGGTCTTTATTTGACGATCAATTTGAAATTTATTTATCAGATATTCCGCTCTTGACCAATAATTTGACTGAATAGAGGATAGGCCCATATAATTATATAAGAATTTAAATTAACCTTATATTTCAGGTTGAAAATCGTTTATATTCATGAACAATTAATAGGTGATAATAAAAGTTTTTTTTCTGGTTTTAAAGACGGTCAAACTCACCCGTAGTTACATATATACGCCGGATACACAAGACAGTTAATTAACCTCAAGTCAAATCCGCTATAAAATAATTGACTAAAACGAAGGTAGCCACGTTTATGGTTAATAGGGTTAATCTGAAACTTGGCAAAAACAACTCATATCTAATTTATTGAAAATAAAAATACACCTGTTGAATGGCGTGCTGGTGTACATTACATATTCTAGTAATTAACTTTTTAGTGGCATTATCCACTACTAGTCTTTAATTAGTAATAGTTAACGTATTTTTTTTTACATGGAATGTGAATATTTTTTGAATTCACTTTTAAAAGGTGATTTGGGTATTTATATAAGAACAGAAATACATTCTTGCTACATTTCAGACGTACCTTCATCTGTATCCCCTTTGAAAGGCAGTATTTCCAGTAAAGGATCATAACTATCCGCAGCCATATGTGGCCTTTCAAACTTTCCCACTTCCATTTTAACTTGCTTGTTTAATTGCATGGATTCGTTTTCAGTGAATGGTATCGATTTTATAATTTCACTTAAAGTAGGTTTTGATTCGGCACTGTGCGTGTTTGCTTTAATGTTATCATTTCTTTTGTTGTGAACATGGTTGGAAAATTTTGAAATATGAGCTTCTGGTTTCACTGTAAGCTTTTCTGGTATTCCCAAACCAGGTTTGATCACATAATCCGTTTCAGATGGCCGGAAAACACATGCACGGTTCAATTTTCTTAAATATTTCCGTGTACTTTTATATCGTTTGATCCATTTTGAATTTTCTTTGCTCAGCTCATCTTGTCCCGAGATGAGAAACTGAATCAAGTCCGATTGTTGAAAAATCAATTGTTGAAGGCGTAAAACATTCTGGTTTATTGAATGTAAATCTGTTTCCGACCTCTCACTGCTGGAAATTACATTGTCCTCCCAAGAATAGTGCGGAAAACTGTCAATGTGTTGAGCAGAAAATGTTTGGTCTGAGTCATCAGGCCGCTGAGCTAACATACCTTGGTGAAATGACGTTTCTGAAACAATCCCTGTCACTTGATATAGAGTCAAACACAATACAAACACATTAGCCATTATTTCATTTAAATGTTGTATATAGTTTTTATAACACTATACAATTAACACTGTATTATATTAAATTCTCCTGATGAAAATTGCAGTGAAAATCCAGAACGCCTTTTAAGAGTTAATTCTCCGTTTTTATATATACGATTGATCTGCGTAGTTTCTTTCTCATCTAGTATATTATCTTGTACTTTATCCAACAAATTAAATTTGTTTTGATCTCCACCTCCTTACGACACACAATTCCAAATATCACACTACGCTTTGTGTATAAAATGAGTGGCGGTTCACAAAATAAGGTTGGTTTGTTTATAAAGTAAAAGTTAAGATGGGAACAATTACTAAAGTGAGATAGTTCTATATAGGCACCAATTTTCACACTTGACTAGTAACATCTTGACACCAGCTTAAAGTAATGTATATTCACGACCAGATTTCTAGACCAATTTCACCTTTAAACTCACCATCGACCGGTTCCAAACGACATTCATCTTAGTGTATGTGTTTTATTTTTTTCATATTCTAGGTAGAACTAGTAGTACGACAAAACGATGCAAACAACATATCATATAATAACCCCCATCTTTCATAATGCACCACTTAAATACTTATCTCAGGCTTGATTTAAAAAAGTGTTTTATCCTACTTTTACGACCGGATCAAACCGAGGAGCTCTAATAGACTAGGCAGCACGTTCTTGTGACGCCATCTACGTAGAAAGACAGTTTGCCATAAGGCGACCATGAATAAAAAAAAATCTGTTATATTAAAAGTTTTTGAAATTGACGTCTACATTTGCACATTTTTATTTAAAAACGATATTTCACACGCCTCCAGTCTATGAAACCTTCTAGGTTCAAACTATGATTTTCATTATACGTTTCATACCACAACCTGGTTTTATTGTACTTAACGTTTTATACTACTACCTGCTTTTATTGTATCTAACGTTTCATACTACTATTTGCTTTTATTGTATCTAACGTTTTATACTACTACCTGATTTTATTGTATCTAACGTTTTATACTACAACCTGGTTTTATTGTATTTAACGTTTTATACCACTACCTGGTTTTATTGTATTTAACGTTTTTTACTACTACCTGATTTTATTGTATCTAACGTTTTATACTACCAACTGCTTTTATTGTATCTAACGTTTTACACTACTACCTGCTTTTATTGTATCTAACGTTTTAAAAAACTACCTGCTTTTATTGTATCTAACGTTTTATACTACTACCCGATTTTATTGTATCTAACGTTTTATACTACTACCTGATTTTATTGTATCTAACGTTTTATACTACTATTTGCTTTTATTGTATCTAACGTTTTATACTACTACCTGATTTTATTGTATCTAACGTTTTATACTACTACCTGATTTTATTGTATCTAACGTTTTATACTACTATTTGCTTTTATTGTATCTAACGTTTTATACTACTACCTGGTTTTATTGTATCTAACGTTTTATACTACCAACTGCTTTTATTGTATCTAACGTTTTATACTACTACCTGGTTTTATTGTATTTAACGTTTTTTACTACTACCTGATTTTATTGTATCTAACGTTTTATACTACCAACTGCTTTTATTGTATCTAACGTTTTATACTACTACCTGGTTTTATTGTATCTAACGTTTTATACTACTACCTGATTTTATTGTATCTAACGTTTCATGCTACTACCTGATTTTATTGTATCTAACGTTTCATGCTACTACCTGATTTTATTGTATCTAACGTTTTATACTACTACCTGATTTTATTGTTTCTAACGTTTTATACTACTATTTGATTTTATTGTTTCTAACGTTTTTTACTACTACCTGGTTTTATTGTATCTAACGTTTTATACTACAACCTGATTTTATTGTATCTAACGTTTTATACTACTACCTGGTTTTATTGTATCTAACGTTTTATACTACTACCTGATTTTATTGTATCTAACGTTTTATACTACTATTTGCTTTTATTGTATCTAACGTTTTATACTACTACCTGGTTTTATTGTACTTAACGTTTCATACTACTATTTGGTTTTATTGAATCTGACGTTTTATTACTAGTACCTGCTTTTATTATATCTAACGTTTTATTCTACTACCTGATTTTATTGTACCTAACGTTTTATACTACAATCTGGTTTTATTGTATCTAACGTTTTATACAACTACCTGATTTTATTGTATCTAACGTTTCTTACTACTACCTGCTTTTATTGTATCTAACGTTTTATACTACTACCTGATTTTATTGTATCTAACGTTTTATACTACTACCTGGTTTTATTGTATCTAACGTTTTATACTACTACCTGATTTTATTGTATCTAACTTTTTTTACTACTACCTGGTTTTATTGTATCTAACGTTTTATACTACTACCTGATTTTATGGTATCTAAAGTTTTATACTACTACCTGATTTTATTGTATCTAACGTTTTATACTACTACCTGCTTTTATTGTATCTAACGTTTTTTTCTACTACCTGGTTTTATTGTATCTAACGTTTCTTACTACTACCTGGTTTTATTGTATCTAACGTTTTATACAACTACCTGATTTTATTGTATCTAACGTTTTTTACTACTACCTGGTTTTACTGTATCTAACGTTTTATACTAATACCTGATTTTATTGTATCTAACGTTTTATACTACTTCCTGCTTTTATTTTATCTAACGTTTTATACTACTACCTGATTTTATTGTATCTAACGTTTTATACTACTACCTGGTTTTATTGTATCTAACGTTTTATACAACCACCTGGTTTTATTGTATCTAACGTTTTATACTACTACCTGGTTTTATTGTATCTAACGTTTCATACTACTATTTGGTTTTATTGCATCTGACGTTTTATTACTAGTACCTGCTTTTATTGTATCTAACGTTTTATACTACTACCTGATTTTATTGTATCTAACGTTTTTTACTACTACCTGATTTTATTGTAAATAACATTTTATACTACTACCAGATTTTATTGTATCTAACGTTTCATACTACTACCTGATTTTATTGTATCTAACGTTTTATACTACTACCCGATTTTATTGTATCTAACGTTTTTTACTACTACCTGATTTTATTGTATCTAACGTTTTATACTACTACCTGGTTTTATTGTATCTAACATTTTATACTACTACCTGATTTTATTGTATCTAACGTTTTATACTACTACCTGCTTTTATTGTATCTAACGTTTTATACTACTACCTGATTTTATTGTATCTAACGTTTTATACTACTACCTGATTTTATTGTATCTAACGTTTCATGCTACTACCTGATTTTATTGTATCTAACGTTTCATGCTACTACCTGATTTTATTGT